GGTTCGATTCCAGGCTGTATCACAACCAGCCGTGATTGGGAGTCCCATAGGGCGGTGCACAATTCGCCCAGCGTCGTCCGGGTTTGGCCGGTGTAGGCCGTCATTGTAAATAATAATTAGTTCTTAACTGACTTGCCTAGTAAAAAAAATTAAAATAAAAAGATTTAAAAGATAAAAAAACTAAAATTGCGGAGAAGAAACTAACATCCGTGGGCGTGTAGCGTTTGGCCGGAGCAAGGAGTTTGGGTAGCCAGGCAACCTCTCTCCCCCCCTGAGCTGTTCTCATCAGCTAAACGGATCAGGGTGATATGATCAAAACCAGACCTCTGGGGTGACCAAACAATAGCCAAACTACTCTTAAGAGTATGTGTGTGTAAACACCCTGAGGACAAGGCACATTTGACAGATAATAGAGATCATGATGTGGGGTAAACGAGGTAGCATGATGAACCATCAGCTTTAACAACAGTAGTTTATTAGGACCCCATGTTTTGCATTGATTGGCCTTGACTAGCCAGTCATAAAGAAGTAGCCCTAAGAACTAGGGGGGGGGTGTCCTTTCCATACTATGACAAAAATGCATGGGTGTGTGAATAAGCCTACAGGACTAGGGGATAGGCCTTTTCTAAAATGAATTGTGTGGGTGTGTGTGTCAGCATGCGTGTGCATGAGTAGATCAGAGATCTTGCACGTGTTAGTGTGTGTCAGCAGAACATTCCAACACACAGATTCATATCCAGGGCTGGATTAAGAAATCATAGGCCCTGGAGCGTTGTTTTTTTTCAGGCTGTTGGTTGTGGCCTGTGGAATGTTGTCCCACTCTTCTTCAATGGCTGTGCGAAGTTGCTGGACATAGGCGGGAACTGGAACACACTGTCGTACACATCGATCCAGAGCATCCCGAACATGCTTAATGGGTGACATGTCTGTTGAGTATGCAGGCCATGGAAGAACTGGGACATTTTCAGCTTCCAGGAATTGTGTGCAGAACATTTACATTACATTTACATTTTAGTCATTTAGCAGACGCTCTTAACCAGAGCGACTTACAGGAGCAATTAGGGTTAAGTGCCTTGCTCAAGGGCACATTAACGTCATTTAGCAGACGCTCTTAGCCAGAGCGACTCACAAATTGGTGCGTTCACCCTATAGCCAGTGGGATAACCACTTTACAATTTGGGGGGGGGGGGGGGGGGGGGGGGTTAGAAGGAATACTTTATCCTATAGGGGGCCCACGTGGGGGCGTGCATTATCATGCTGAAACATGAGGTGATGGCGGCGGATGAATGGCACGACAATGGGCCTCAGGATCTCACCACGGTATCTTTGTGCATTCAAATTACCATAGATAAAATGCAATTGTGTTTGTTTTCCGTAGCTTATGCCTTTCCATACTATAACCCCGCCGCCACCATGGGGCACTCTGTTCAAAGCTTGTGTTGGCCCAACACCCTCTTAAGACACTTTTTGTTGGTGTTTCCTTTATTTTGGCAGTTACCTGTATGTGCTTGTGATAAAATGTAATCCAAAGTTATTTTTTTGAAACTATTGGTCCTCTGTGGCTAAATTATGCTCTCTGGTGTATTTTGAACTTTGAGAGCGGGCTCCTGTGGTTTGGCTTGGGCCCCTGACTCACACAATTGACCTGTCACATTTATTTATTATGCAGTTTATTTAGTTTATTTTGATGAATCAGGTGCCCAATCATGGCAGGGCCCCCCACGTGGGCCCCCTACTTCCTCTCCTCCCCCCCATCTGATGATCAGCAGAGCGGCAGCAGCAGGCTGTCTACACTCATTGAGAGCGGGTTCCTGAATCCTCCTGTGGTTGGCGGTTGCAGTAAAAAAATACAAAATATATACTACATATATAATACAGTATATACTGTATATATATATATATATATATATATATATATATATATATGTATTACTTTTCTTGCTGCCTCTTGGGCCCCCCACAGGCCTGGGCCCAGGGGCTTCAGCCCCGGTAAACTCCTGCATTAATCCGTCCCTGTTCATATCATTCAGATCAACATCAGAGGGAGCCTAGGCCACTCCCGTGGGTTACAGGTTGTAACTCGACCTCCTTCCCAGGGTGCACTGCATTGTGATTACCTGTGGCAGGAAGCCAGTTCCTGAGAATGTCTCTGTTCATCAGATTAGTAAACCAAGATAACAGCTGATTATACCACAGGAGAGGTCTGTTGTTTTAGTTATGGCTAGAGCCAGCCACCCTATCAGCCCCCAGCAAGACAGATAAGAGGTCTTCTAACTTCACCCAGCACAATGGAGAGTGCATTTTTTGTGCTGAGACCCACCTAAAACTTTTGGGACACCAAGTCAACAAAACCAATGTTTAGTCAGGTCTGAAAGTAGTCTGAAATTGTAACCAAAAGGGAATCCTCCCCAACCCACCAGTGAGTCCCGATGCACTATTTAAGAAACACTGGTCTGGCATCATTTAGCTGAAGGAGGATATAATTACATGCTACGAGGGGGGTTTTCTGAGTGCTAGGCTTCGGGGAGTTTGTGTGTGGTAAAGTGTGTGAGACTGAGACTTGAGTGTGTGTTGGTGCTAGATTTTGAGGTGTGTGTGTGTAGTTGTGTATTAGTGTGTGTTGGTGCTAGGCTTTGAGGTGTGTGTGTGTAGTTGTGCATTAGTGTGTGTTGGTGCTAGGCTTTGAGGTGTGTGTGTGTGTGTGTAGTTGTGTATTAGTGTGTGTTGGTGCTAGGCTTTGAGGTGTGTGTGTGTGTAGTTGTGTATTAGTGTGTGTTGGTGCTAGGCTTTGAGGTGTGTGTGTGTGTGTAGTTGTGTATTAGTGTGTGTTGGTGCTAGGCTTTGAGGTGTGTGTGTGTGTGTAGTTGTGTATTCATGTGTGTTGGTGCTAGGCTTTGAGGTGTGTGTGTAGTTGTGTATAAGTGTGTGTTGGTGCTAGGCTTTGAGGTGTGTGTGTGTGTGTAGTTGTGTATTAGTGTGTGTTGGTGATAGGCTTTGAGGTGTGTGTGTGTGTAGTTGTGTATTAGTGCTTGGCGTAGGCGCTATTCTCCTCTCCCAGAGACAGGAAGCAGCCAAGGCCACTCTAACACTCATCTTTCACTCTCTCGCTTTACTTCCACTCCTTCGCCACTGCTCTCTCTACCTTCTCTCTCTCTCTTCCTTGCTGCAGCTGTTGGTCTCGATGAGGTGTGATGTCACAGCCGCCCAGCCAATCAGGTGCTGTTGTCGAGGGAGAACAGAGCGACTAAGCAGAGGAAAGAAAGGAGGGGTGGAGAGGGGAGGAGGAAGGGTTTGGTGTGTAGTGTGGTCTGCCTGGTGGGAGCTCCTTGTGAACAGCGATGAGAGCCAGATCACCATTCCTCTGTGTTTAGTTCTTCTCTTTTCCTGGCCTGGACAAACATCTCTTCAAGGAGCCCAGCCTCCAACCCCAGTGTTTATCATCATATTCCCCTGGACTTATTTCATAAGACGTAAACACAGGTCCTGGACTGTGAGTCATCTGGAATAGGTGAAGCCACACCCACAACTACTACCACCATGAGAGTTGTGATAAAGGGGGGACTGGTTGGAGCATGGCTGGGCTGGGGAGGGGAGAGAGGGCTGGGGTGCTGCTTGGCCATTCCCCTTTGTGTGAGAGGCAGGCAGGGAGGATGCAGGGTGGGTGTGGGCGCAACATTGGCAACCCATAACAAATGAGAGGTGGAGACAGCCGGCGGTGGAACGCAAAGATTCAATGGAGACCTTTGTTTTGTCTTCTCTCTTTACCTTTGTTTTGATCCCAGAGTTTATTTTTCCACTTTTTTTTGTCATGATTTGAGTTGTTTCATTACAACATGAATGAACTCAACTTTTGTTTCCTTTACCCATACCACTTAACAGTGGGACCAGTAGAAGGCTAGATTTACATTATTACATTTAAGATGCACTGTGTACTGTGACGTTTTATGGTGTGTTACTGCTTTTGTCTTGTGTTTAAAATGTACATGATGCCGCAAACAAAACTTCACATAGGAGAGACTCAAGTCAGTAAATATAATCAAAGACAAGAAGCTTATCTTTCTGAAAGGACAACTCCATAAAAATCTATTCCCAGAAAATGTATTTCCCAAAGGAAAGTAACATTTCTGTTAACATTTAGGAAAGAATTAGCAGCAATTAGCCCTTTCCTGTACTTTTTTCTACAGTTTATGAAGTCTAGAAACTTTCCGATTCAGCAATTGTCTGAATCGAGGACTTCCTCCAAAACATGAGCCGAGGACTTCCTCCAAAGCATGGTAATTGTTCAGGGTATTCTAGGTGTGAGTCTGACCCCTGGTGGTGAAAAGACTATGCCCAGAAATTGTCTGGTAGACCCACACACACACAAAAAAAGTAAAACTATTTATTGACAAATGTACACCTCAGCACAGATACAGATATACAGCACAGCATGATATCATATTGGACTCTGTGATTTGTTCATTTCTTCAACGACGTAGACATGGCAACTTTTAGCTCCTTAGCTAGTCTCACTCAGAGCAGATTCATCAGTGTTTCAATTGAAAGAATCCATCTGTTTAAGAGTGTTCTCCAAACCAAAACTTCAAGATTTAGAGCTTGATGAGCAGACGCAGAAGTACACAGTACTGGTCCTGGAAAAATCATTGCAGTCAGAGTTGCAAAACCAAACCAAAAGTTATTGTATCATGATTATTGTATTGGAGGTCAAACCTAAACTGGAGCTAACTTTAGTGGGGCTGCAGCTTTTCAGAAGCAGCAGGATGAGTATGCTACTGTATTGTGGTTAAACAAACAAAGATCGATCTGCTCATGCTCACATCTGAACATTCTAAACCCAGTCTCCATGACAACAGCCCCTCGGATTCTCTCTCTGATCTTTTCTGAGATCCGCTCACTCTGTGTTTGTGGCAGGAGACTGGGCTCCAGGAGTGCTCTGGAGCTGGTCGGAGCGGGCTCCGTGTCGTACCCAGGAAAGGGTGCTGTTTGGGGGTAAGTGTGTCTCAGCAGCCCCCCTCTGATGTGTCCTTGTCCTGAACCAGCCCTCCCTGCTGGATGGCAGCTGTCGCCATGCTGATGGCCTCCTCCAACGTCTGCTGCTCCTCCAGCTACACACACATACTATTAACACTCAGTATAATGCTAAGAGTACAACTTGACAAGTTCTTAACCTCTCTGTGTGTGTGTGTGTGTGTGTGTGTGTGTGTGTACTGACCTGAACAGCAATCTGTGTGCCGTTAGCCGTGGCCAGCAGTGCCACCTGCTGGTAGTGAGGGCCAGAGCCCTGTGAGCCACCTGTCATTATGCCCTCCGACGTCACTATGGCAACCTGGAGAGGAAAGACAAACCACCAATAACATGCTGATCTACTTTACAGTACAAAGATTGACATTTAAGAGCAAATACTGCTTCATACATTTAGCCTAGTGTGGGCTAAGGAGTATGTGTGTGTGTAACCTACCTGCTGCAGCTCCTTGCCCTCCCCTGTAACCATGGTAATGTGGTGGTGTCCCATGGCGGTCATGTCCGTCTGGTGGGTCGGCAGGGAGATGGCATTAACATGGTGATGGCCATGCCGAGCGCCTGCAGGTCCTCTGCCAACAGACCCACCTGCCAGAAGAGAACAGGTCAAAGTGGAGGACAGAGAACCAACTGTTTTTATAATACACTCAAGTTCTGATAAATGCAACAGCTTGGGACTGTGGTGACAGCATGTACTAAAACGGAGCGGAAAAGTGGAAAATGTATGCCCTTTTCTTTCCATATCACACAAGTGGAATCACTAGATAGGAAAGTAGAACTACCTGAGAGCCAATGATGTCTTGGGAACCCGACCCATCCTCTTTCTGCTCCGCCCCCTCCAGGAAGGAGGCCTGTGAATGGTCATTCATCGCTTTTGCAAAAGAGAAACAGAGGCGGGTCATCAACGAATGAGGGGATTCGATTATCTGGCCCGGGTTACCCCAATGAGAGTTTGCACCATGTTAAAAGTGATTGCATTTGTTTTGGAACAAGGCTGCCTCCCGGGCATGAGCCAGGTGCCCCGTTCAAAGCCTGTGGTGAAGTCGGATTAAAACAAAAGTGACGTAGCCTAGGCTAGTGTCACGTTCGTCGAAGGAGGAGGACCAAGGCGCAGCGTTGAAGGTGAACATGCTTTTTTAAATTAGAATGATAACACGAACAAAACAACAAACGATACGTGCAGTCCTACGGTACAAACCAAAAGGAACAAGATCCCACAAACACTGTGGGAAAACTGGCTGCTTAAGTATGGTTCCCAATCAGAGACAACAAGCAACAGCTGATACCCATAGCCTCTGATTGAGAACCACACTGGCCAACATAGAAATACAATACTAGACCGAACACAATAGAAAACTCACACCCTGGCTCAACATACTAGAGTCCCCAGAGCCAGGGCGTGACAGTACCCCCCCCCCCAAAGGCGCGGACTCCGGCCGCGCCAACCAAACACCACAGGGGAGGGACCGGGTGGGCACTCCACCTTGGCGGCGGATCCGGCTCCGGGCCTGATCCCCACTCCCTCTCCAACCCCCCAAAGTACCCCTGGTCCGGTCTGGCCCCGCTGGCCGGAGCTGGACTGCACACTGGTGGAGCGGATTGCTCTAGCTCCGGCGTGAAGCAGCTGACCGGTGCCGGACCAGGCACCGGTGGAACAGGCATGGGCCGTGCCGGACTGACGACGCACACCACTGGCTTGGTGTGGGGAGCAGGAACGGGCCGGACCGGGCTGGCGACGCTCACCATAGGCTTGATGCGGGGAGCAGGAGCGGGCCGGACCGGGCTGGCGACGCGCACCATTGGCCTGGTGCGGGGAGCAGGAACAGGCCGGGCCGGGCTGGCGACGCGCACCATAGGCTTGGTGCGGGGAGCAGGAACAGGCCGGGCCAGGCTGGCGACGCGCACCATTGGCTTGGTGCGGGGAGCAGGAACAGGCCGGGCCGGGCTGGCGACGCGCACCATTGGCTTGGTGCGGGGAGCAGGAGCGGGCCGGACCGGGCTGACGAAGCGCACCACTGACTTGGTGCGGAGAGCAGGAATGGACCGGACTGGGCTGGCGACGCGCACCACAGGCTCGGCGCAAGGGACAGGAACAGACCGGACCGTACTGGGGACACACACCACTGGCCCTACGCAGGGATCAGGAACGGGCCGGACCGGACTGGTAACACACCCCAGTACCTCTCGCCGTGCCTCTACACCTTCCTTCCCCTTTTTGACCAGTGGCCCCCGTAACCTGGCGGCCTCCTCTGCCAACCCGCTGGGCCGCTCTATCGCGGTCTCCTGCTGCCCCGTCGTCCACGGCGTGAGCCCCCCCCTAAAAATTTTCTGGGCTTCTCTCCTACCCGTGGACTAGGTCTCCATATCTCCCGCCAGCCTTTCGCCCTTCTGCTTCCAAGTCAAGCCCCTCTCTTCCTCACACGGCTCGACCCAGTCGAGGAGGCGAAGGAGATCCGCTAGAGATCTCCCTGGCGATGGCTCCTGGACACGCTGCTTGGTCCAGTCTTGGTGGGATCTTCTGTCACGTTCGTCGAAGGAGGAGGACCAAGGCTGAAGGTGAACATGCTTTTTTAAATTAGAATGATAACACGAACAAAACAACAAACGATACGTGCAGTCCTACGGTACAAACCAAAAGGAACAAGATCCCACAAACACTGTGGGAAAACTGGCTGCTTAAGTATGGTTCCCAATCAGAGACAACAAGCAATAGCTGATACCCGTTGCCTCTGATTGAGAACCACACTGGCCAACATAGAAATACAATACTAGACCGAACACAATAGAAAACTCACACCCTGGCTCAACATACTAGAGTCCCCAGAGCCAGGGCGTGACAGCTAGATTAAGCACGTGGAGTAATGAGTAGGATTCTGTGTTTTCACATGCAAAAGTGATCGCTTTTGATAAAAACACATCTGCCTTCCCAATGAAAACTAATTTGAAAATATGAACATATATTTTATGGAAAATAGAGTGTATGTTTGTATGTTTCTGGACGATGCACCATGCTGCCTTGTTGACAACATGGCTGAGCGGCGCAGATTATTGTTCAGAAGGGAGCTCCTTCCTCACCGCTTTTGTCCGTTCACCTCACAGGCCATGGACCGGTGCACCGCGGCTCAGGTTAATAGAACTCCCTCAACGAATGAATGCTGTTAAGACCTTCGAGAGGAAATTAGTCCACAACTGGTGTTTGTTATAGGAGTGTCTCTACATACCTTCCTCATCCCATGTGGCCTCAAAGTCTCCGTGCGTGGTGCATTTGTGCACGGCCAACGTGGAGGTCTGTCTGTAGGTCTTGCCACAGTGGTTGCAGGTGTAAGGTTTGCAGTGTGTGTGAACCACATGGTGCTTGTACAGGCTGGAGTACTCCGTAAATCGTTTCCCACAGCCAGGTACTGTACACAGGTAGGGCTTCTCTCCTAAAGGACAGAGAGGGGCGGAGAGGGAGATAGAAAGAGGGAGGGAGCGGGGGAGAGAGTACTTATTCATGTGAAGTATCTAATTAAACAGTCATGTTATCTCTCACCTGTTTGTATTTTCATGTGGTATTAGTAGTGTGTGTTTTATCTTGGGGTGCATCTTACCTGTGTGTATCCTCATGTGGTTCTTGTAGTTAGTGGCACTGACGAAGCCTCATCCACAGGAGGGTTCAGGGCACATGTGTTCTGATGTGGACCTTCCTGATGTTAGAGGTGGTGAAGGTACGACCACACCCCTCAAACGGACACTTAAACAGCTTCTCATCTGACAGAGAGAAAGAAAAATGTCAGGGGAAGAGATTGAGAGAAGGAAAGAAAGAGATATGGGGGAAGAGCACCTACAGCCCTTGAACAGGCACTTAAACAGTGTCCCATCTAACAAAAAGAGGGAGGGAAACAAGGAGGGAAAGATAAAAAGGAGAAAATTAGGGAGAGAAAGTGAGACGGAGCGTAAGAGGTCTACACTGAATGTACAAAACATTAGGAACACCTTCCTAATATTGAGTTGCACCCCCCTTTTGCCCTCAGAACAGCCTCAATTCATTGGGGCATGGATTCTAGAAGGTGTCGAAAGCTTTCTATAGGGATGCTGGCCCATGTTGACTAATGCGTCCCACAGTGTCAAGTTGGCTGGTAGTGGATTTCAGAATAGCTCGTTCCATCTCATCCCACAGATGCTCAATTGGATTGAAATCTGGTGACTGGGCAAGCCACTGCAGTAAGCTGATTTCACTGTCATGTTCTTGGAACCATTCCTGGACAATCCTAGACTTGTGGCATGGGGCATTATTCTGCTGGAAAACTCAATTCGCAGATGGATATACTGCTGCCATGAAGGGATGCACCTGATTGGCAATGATGTTCAGATATGCTGGGGCATTCATATGTTGCTCCACTTTTATCAAGGGGCCCAATGTGTGCCATGAAAACACATCCCACACCATCACCAGCCTGCAATGATGACACGCGGCATAATGGATGCAAGTACTCATGCGGTTTTCTCCATACCCTAGTCCTCCCATCAGCGTGAAACAGCAGGAACCGGGATTCATCAGACCAGGCAATGTTTTTCCAATTCTCCAGTGTCCAGTGTTTTCGTTCCTTAGCCCACTGCAACCGTATATTCTTGTTTTTTGCTGAAGGTCGTCAGCTGCCATACCCCATTTGTGTCAAGGCACGACGAGTTGTGCATTCTTTTATGTGTCTTTGAGCACCAATGTTGTACTGGACTGTCAGTTGACTAACTGTAATCTGTCTGTTGCTCTGCACAATTCCTGTCAGCCTCCTTTGTCCTCTTTCATCAATGACCCGTTTTCGACCACTGGCCTGTTGTTGGCTGGATGTCCTTTGGGTTGGTGGCGGTCCAGTCTTGATACACACGGGAAATGGTTGAGCGTGAAAAACACAGCAGCGTTGCAGTTCTTGACAAACTCAAACCGGTGCGCCTGGCACCTACTACCATACCCTGTTCAAAGGCACTTCAATATTTTGTCTTGCCCATTCACCCTCTGAATGGCACACATACACAATCCATGTTTCAAGGTTTAAAAATCCTTCTTTAACCTGTCTCCTCCCCTTCATCTACACTGATTGAAGTGGATTTAACAAGTGACATCAATAAGGGATCATAGCTTTCACCTGGATTCACCTGGTCAGTCTATGTCATGGAAAAGCAGGTGTTCATAATGTTTTGTACACTCAGTGGAGAAGTACAGAGATATGACGAGATGAGGGAAAGAGAAAGTGACAGAAAAAGAGGGGAAAAACGAAGAAAATAAGTGGTGGGGGAAAGATGCAGGGTGTGTGTGTGTGTGTGTATCCTGCAACCTGTGTGTGTGCGAACGTGTTTCTGGAGGTCTCCGGAGGTTTTGAAGGCCTTGAAGCACGTCTTCAGGACACTTGTATGGTTTCTCTCCAGTGTGTGTTTGCAGGTGACTCTTCAAGCCATAACCTGTGGCGAACGCCTTTCCACACGTCAGCACGTCACACCTTTATGGCCGGACACCTGTATGAGCCCACTCATGCACCTGACAAGACAGGGGCAACATTAGTATAACATTCACATCTTATCAAGTGGTAACAAATGTGTGTGTGTGTGTGGTATATTGAGGTGGTGACGCATGTGGCAAGGACTACAAACCATTCCTGATTATAAAGGGAAAGCCAGCTGTGTGGCAAACACTGATGGCTCTCTCCCAGACGAGCTAAACACTTTCTATGCTGACTTTGAGGTAAACAATACCGATCCTCCTACGAGGGCCCCCGCCGCTCAAAGGGACTGTGTGCTCTCGATCTCTATGGCCAACGTGAGTACTCGCAAGGCAGCCGGCCCAGATGGTAGCTTCATGATTTCCACCATTGTTCCTGTATCCAAGCAAACAAAGATAAACTGCCTAAATGACTATCGCCCTGTAGCACTCACTTCTGTCATCATGAAGTGCTTTGAAAGACTGTTCAAGGACCACATCAGCTCCACCTTAACTGACACCCTGGACCCACTACAATTTGCATACCACCCCAATAGATCCACGGACGACGCAATCGTCATTGCGCTGCACTCTGCCCTATCCCACCTGGACAAGAGGAATACCTATGTGAGAATGCTATTCATTGACTACAGCTCAGCTTTCATACCCCATATTCCCCTCCAAGCTCATTAAGCTCAGGCCCTGGGTCTGAACACCTCCCTCTGCAACTGGATCATGGACTTCCTGACGGGCAGACCCCAGGTGGTGAGGGTAGGCAACAACAACTCTGCCAAGCTGACCCTCAACACGGGGGCCCCCCAGGGATGTGTGCTCATCCAACTCCTGTAGTCACTGTACACCCACAACAACACGACAGTGGTGGGCCTGATCGCCGACGAGACAGCCTACAGGGAGGAGGTTAGAGCCCTGGCAGAGTGGTGCCAGGACAACAGCCTCTTCCTCAACATCAGCAAAACCATGGAGGTGATCGTGGACTACAGTAAACGGGGGGAGGGGAGCACGACCCCAGCTGCATCGGCGGGGCTGCAGTAGAAACGGTCAAAAGCTTCAGCGCCTCTTCAACCTCAGGCAACTGAAGAAATCTGGCATAGCCCCTCAGATCCTCAAGAAGTTATACAGCTGCACCATCAACAGCATCTTGACCGGCTGCATCACCGCCTGGTATGGCAACTGCACCGCCTTCAACCGCTAGGCTCTACAGAGGGTGGTGCGGACAGCCCAATACATCACTGGGGGCAAGCTCCCTGCCCTTCAGGACATTTACACCAGGTGGTGTCTGAGGAATCACAGGAAGATCATCAAGGACTCCAGTCACATGAGCCACGGACAGTTCACTTTGTTAGCATCTGGCAAACAGTATCGGAGCGTAGGGTCTCGGACCAACAGGCTTCGACACAGCGTCTACCATCAGGCCATCAGACTGGTGAACAGCTAACCCTAGCTGTCTCCCTGTACAAACCTGCACCTTAGATACTATTTGCACTGACTGCCCACACATCCAACCCTTACACACAACCACACACACACAACCACACGCACACATACATACATACCTCTTTTATACCTGCTGTAAACTGTACGTGACAAATAAAATGATTAGATTTAGATTTGACTGTGGTGTGTGTGCTGTGATGTAGAGCAGTGGTTCTCAACCAGGGGTACTAGGACGCCTGGGGGAAATTGGCCTATCCACAGGGGGTACTTGAGAAGACTCATGAGACCATAGACTTACTGGTAAAATGCACATTAGGGGGTACTTCAGAGCAAAATTCAGTTGGTAGTACACTAACCGAAAAGGGTTGGGAACCATTGATGTAGAGTGTGTGTGTGTGTGGTACCTTGAGGTGGTGTGCTGTGGTGGAGGGTGTGTGTGTGTGGTACCTTGAGGTGGTGTGCTGTGGTGGAGGGTGTGTGTGTGGTACCTTGAGGTGGTGTGCTGTGGTGGAGGGTGTGTGTGTGCGTGGTACCTTGAGGTGGTGTGCTGTGGTGGAGGTTGTGTGTGCATGGTACCTTGAGGTGGTGTGCTGTGGTGGAGGGTGTGTGTGTGCGTGGTACCTTGAGGTGGTGTGCTGTGGTGGAGGGTGTGTGTGTGCGTGGTACCTTGAGGTGGTGTGCTGTGGTGGAGGGTGTGTGTGTGCGTGGTACCTTGAGGTGGTGTGCTGTGGTGGAGGGTGTGTGTGTGCGTGGTACCTTGAGGTGGTGTGCTGTGGTGGAGGGTGTGTGTGCATGGTACCTTGAGGTGGTGTGCTGTGGTGGAGGGTGTGTGTGCATGGTACCTTGATGTGGTGTGCTGTGGTGTAGAGACGTCCACAGCCCTCGTAGTCACAGCGGAACGTCTTCTCAGCCGTCTGCTGACCCTTAGGGGAACCCCACGACCCCATCATCTGTACGATGGGCTCTATGTCCTGGAGTCCATTGGTACTGCTCATGGTCTCATCCACCTCCACATCTGACCCAGTCATCTAGGGAGAAAATGGGGGAGAGGAGAGTTGGAGAGCGTTATAATGAATCAAAGTACTACATTGCTTATGTTACCACAACATGTACAACTGCTTAGTATGTGAGAGAGCAAGAAAAAGAGACAGTGAAAGAAAAACAGAGCTTGCAAGAGAAATAACTGAGAAAGAAAGAGACAGAGAACGAATGCACACTAAACAGGGATATGTGAGATGAGAGAGTGATAGAACAGACAGAAAAAGAGAGACCTTGGCATAGTTCTCCAGGGTGGTGATGGTGTCCGTGTCCACAGTGTCGTCTGCAGCCAGCTCCTCCAGGGCGCTTCCAGGCTGCAGAGTTAGGATGGTGCTGCCAACCTGCAAGCCCAAATGGTGGTGGATGTACACTGTGCTGCCACCGTCCAGCTGCATTGCCTCCACAGCACTGGGGTCACACCCGTGTGCAGGGGTTAGAGGTTAGGGGCTCGGTTTGGATGTTTGAGATCACTTTACTTCCATCCTTTTGAGAAGTAATAATAACTGATGTGTGAGTCATTGGACCACAGAAAACAAGGTGACAACAACTCTATTGCCTTCACCAAGCCAACTTTTCTTAGAGTGGTGAATGCAGTATCTGGCCCAGGTTTGATGTTAATATACCTTTGGGTGTGTGGTGGATGTATGCGGTGGACCTGTCCTCGAGCTTAACTGCCTGGCCGTCCTGAAAGGGCAGGGGCTCTGGGGAGAGGACAGGAGAACAGCCAGCATCAGGAGAGACATGGTCTCACAGAACACACACACACAAGGTTATTCCCAAACCCTCCGGCAGACATGTTGTTCTGAGGGTGTAGAATGACCTTTCTGCTGTACAGTGACCTGGTGGATGTAGGCTGTAGTACCGTCCTCCAACTGAATAGTATCACCTTCCACCAGGTTACCATCTGAGGGTGAGAAATGTGTATTATTGTTAATATCAGTGGCAGCTATACATACTTAGGACATGTGAACGTTAGCTTTGAGTGTTTCATTGTATTTGATTAGTGTGGTTTGTTGTCACCTTTGATGGCTTGTTTGATGTAGGCAGTGGAGCCATCACTGAGGGCCACAGCCTGCAGTCCCAAACTCTCCATCCTTCTGCTCAGCCACAGATGCTCTATCTGACAATAAGAGAGACACACACACTGAGCTACTGACACTATCTTTCAATCACAGACACTGAACTGCAGACATGCATCATTCACACACACACACAGGGCTACTGACACTCCACCGCTGACGCATTTCTTCTACACACACATGCTACTGAGGAGCCCCAACAATCCTGTGTAATGCTGCATATACTTTGTTCATATTTATGTAGCCATTATCCTAACATCTTGCTCTGTAACAAGGTTAGATCATCTAGGTCAGCTGATGTGACCTCATTGCACTGATGATGACCTAGGGGTCGTGTGTGGTGGCTTGATACGTCAGAGAAGAGAAAAGGAGGTGAGTGATGTGTCCCGAGCATTAACAAGCAGTGGCTGTCCTGGACCGTCAACCAGCGAATATACCATATACTATTACCATATGTATTATGTGTATGCATCAAGGTTAGGTTCAAGATGAGTCTATGGGGAGAGTAACTTGGAGACCCGATGTTGAATTGCATTGGATTCAACGTCGGGCATAAATTAGTATTTGGACCCCTACAAGCCAGAATGTTCAATACAATTATATTTTTACTTACTTTACCGGTCTTCTGTGCGGATAGTCCTTTTGCAGGTAGGAATGTGAGACAACATATCCACAGGAAAGTATAACTACATCAACTTTTCAAAGTGCTGGTAGTGCCTTCAGATTTCTATCACCTGAAGCATGAGTAGAACCATGTGAACACGTGCACGAGCTCAGCATGTATATGTAAAGTGCATTCGGAAAGTATTCAGACCCCTTTACTTTTCCCACATTTTGTTACGTTACAGCTTTATTCTAAAATTGATTAAATGTTTTTCCCCCTGTAGTGTATTAAGATTATGACTTTGTTAATGGTTTTAAGTGGAACCTGAGAGGATGTTTATTTAGTGTCAGAGGGAATTGGTTTAGTGTGACGCCACATTGAACAGAGGGAGTGTGTTGTAAACAGGGGATTGGACAGTAGAGGGAGCCACCCATATTTTGGGGAAGATTATATATACTGGGTTTAGACGAAGAAGAGCAGAGCAGACATTGTAATTTGGAGGACACTGCTCTCCGGGTGATCATGACATCCGTAAACTTATGCTGAAATCTTGTGATATGAATAAAACTTATGATCAAAGTTCAGTATGGGCGGACTCCTTTGTTTAACAGCAATAATTAGCAACATTGACTCGACACTACACCCCCCCTCATCAATCTACACACAATACCCCATAATGACAAAGCAAAAACTGGTTTTTAGACATTTTTGCAAATGTATTAAAAATAGAAAACAGAAATATCACATTTACATAAGTATTCAGACCCTTTACTCAATACTTTGTTGAAGAACCTTTGGCCGCGATTACAACCTCAAGTCTTCTTGGGTATGACACTACAAGCTTGGCACACCTGTATTTGGGGGGTTTCTCCCATTCTTCTCTGCAGATCCTCTCAAACTGTCAGGTTGGATTGGGAGCGTCGCTGCACAGCTATTTTCAGATCTCTTCAGAGATGTTCGATCGGGTTCAAGTCCTGGCTCTGGCTGGGCCACTCAAGGACATTCAGAGACTTGTCCCGAAGCCACTCCTACGTTGTCTTGGCTGTGTGCTTAGGGTCGTTGTCCTGTTGGAAGGTGAACCTTCGCCCCAGTCTGAGGACCTGAGCGCTCTGGAGCAGGTTTTCATCAAGGATCTCTCTGTACTTTGCTCCGTTCATCTTTCCCTCGATCCTGACTAGTCTCCCAGTCCCTGCCGATGAAAAACATCCCTACAGCATGATTCTGTCACCACCATGCTTCACAGTAGGGATGGTGCCAGGTTTCCTCCAGACGTGACACTTGACATTCAGGCAAAAGAGTTCAACCTTGGTTTCATCAGACCAGAGAATCTTCACTAGAGATCCTGGTTCGAGTCCAGGCTCTGTCGCGACCGGGAGACCAATTGGGCGGCGCACAATTGGCCCAGCATCTTCCAGGGTAGGGAAGGGTTTGGCCAGCAACGATGTTCTTGTCCCATCGCGCACTAGCGACTCCTGTGGCGGGCCGGGTGCAGTGCACGCTGACTCGGTCGCCAGGTGTAAGGTGTTTCCTCCAACACATTGGTGTGGCTGGCTTCTGGGTTAAGCGGGCAATGTGTCAAGAAGCAGTGCGGCTCGGTTGGGTTGTGTTTCGGAGGACGCACGACTCTCGACCTTCGCCTCTCCCGTGTCCGTACGGGAGTTGCAGCGATGGGACAATTGGATACCACGAAATTGGGGAGAAAAAGGGGGTAAAATACCAACAACAAAAGAAGACCAGAGAATCTTGTTTCTCATGGTCTGAGAGTCCTTTAGGTGCCTTTTGGCACACTCCAAGCGGCCTGTCATGTGCCTTTTACTGAGGAGTGGCTTCCGTCTGGCCACTCTACCAGAAAGGCCTGATTGGTGGAGTGCTGCAGAGATCGTTGTCCATCTGGAAGGTTCTCCCATCTCCACAGAGGAACTCTGGAGCGCTGTCAGAGTGACCATCGGGTTCTTGGACAGGTGTGTGCCTTTCCAAATCATATCCAATCAATTGAATTTACCACAGGTGGACTCCAATCAAGTTGTAGAAACATCTCAAGGATGATCAATGGAAACAGGATGCACACCTGAGCTCAATTGAGTCTCATAGCAAAGGGTCTGAATACTTATAGAAATAAGGTATTTCTGTTTTATTTTTAATACATTTGCAAAAATGTCAAAAAACGTGTTTTCGCTTGATCATTATGGGGTATTGTGTGTAGATTGATGAGGAAAACAATTAATTTAATCCATTTTTGAATAAGGCTGTAAGGTTACAAAATGTGGAAACGGTCAAGGGGTCTGAATACTTTCCGAATGTACTGTATTTATATATATTTTTACAATTTAGTCATTTTAGCAGATGCTCTTTTCCAGAGCGACTTACAGTTAGTGCATACATTTTTCATACTGTGTGTATTTTCATATTTTGCACTATAGGCACTACCAGTGCTTTGAAACGTTTATGTAAATATACTTTCCTGTGGATATATTGTCTCACATTCCTACTTTCAAAGGACCAACCACACAGACAACTGATAAAGTAAGTTAAAATAAAATGTTTAGTCCTGAGAGGAAGCTCTCCTGATACAAACGCTCATTCATTTCCGAAATTCAACGTCGGGTTTCCAGGCTATGGGGAGGGCAGACTAATATTTTACTGTTAATGGACATAGCTATCTGCTTGACACAAGGGTTTATGGCATAAGCAGTATGCCATCATTGGGTGCATTTCCATCCGGTTGTTACTGTGCCATCACTGGGTACATTTCCAGGTTGTCACTGTATCGGTTTAGATTGGTTCTTTTTGGAAATGAGGGATAGGTTTGCAAATGGCTGAATACATTCTTCTGCAACTGGTCCGGGCAGACCACATAGCTAGCTTTCATTTTAATCAATAATTATTGGGAATAATATACTTTGTATACTAGGTGTAACAATATGGCAATGAAGTCTACAGGTAGCTAGTCAAGAAGTGATATGGACTCAAAATAGTCAATTTCAACTGGTTCACAAGCTAGGGGTCGAGTGACAAGGTAGCTAGCTAACAAGTAAGTAAGCTAACACCGTCATTACACTGAATGGCAAGTTTACCTTGCTAGCACCTGGCAGGCTATCGATACTATGGCTAGCTTCAAGAAGCACATTTTCTTCGCCATTGTCGTTACAACTAGTTAAAATCACACAAAACCAATGATATCAGCAATAGTTGAATTGCTAGCGCCATAACTTTGACTATGTTTGCAATGTATTTTGACATGTGACTAACTAAAGCGTGTAGCAGCGGAAATACAACCAGGCCTCATCACTACAACACGTTTGCGCTCGAATCAGACATTTGCAACATGGTTACTCCCGTCGGTAACACCGTTAATCGATCCCTAACAAAGCGTTTTATATATTTTAATATTTCACCTCAAACTCAAAATAATTCCACAAGCCCTTCTTTATTTTCCTCTCCCTTTCCCCCATTTTTCTATCCTATCTCCAGTGTTGCCAACTCCTCAGTAAGGAAAGTAGCTATTGGCTGTCCTATGAGTTGCTAGAAGTGACGTTATTACCTAATTTGCATAATTTGCCATGTGCATGTAATTGTGATGGACGCTGTAGGAGAGAGGAATACCGTCGTGGGAGAGACAAAAAGTGAGTAAAAAACACCCTAAATATGTTTATAACTACAAATGAACGTTCTTCTGTCGATTCATAAAAATAAAATAAAAACATTTACATCCCGCCCTGAAAGTCTCCAATAACACCAGAAAAAGTCGCTAGTCGATTTTTTGAAAATGTGTCGCTAGAGGGGTCTGAATACTCGCTAAATATAGCGACAAAGTCGCTAAGTTGGCAACACTGCCCATCTCTCCCTCCGCTTGACAAGTTGCAGCGCAACCTGGGATACTCACCTCCAGCAGAATGCTCGGCACCACAGAAGCACCTGTTGTTGGTGAAACCATAATTGGAGAGGAAGTACAAAACCAACGACGCTAGACAGAGAGGAATTTGCTTAAGCAAAAGGCAGTTTATTAAAACAGAGATAGCTGGTACTGCTTCAAGCTACATGCATGGTCCCAACCAATTGCCTCTTAAGGAGACAGTTGAGAAGGGCCATTAAAAAGAGCTTACAGCATTACTTTATAGAATGTAACATAAAGGAAGGGGTCCTTCTTCTAGTCCCTTGATTGGTTCCCGAGGCGTAGGAGGCGGGTCTGCTCTGTCCAGAGCAGATGCCCCATTGGTGCACGGCAGAGTCCTCTGCCCTTGGCACCCGACCAGTAGAAGGGGAGTTGAGAATGAGTGTGCGTCCACAGTGAGATGTGTGTGTGTGTGTGTGTGTCTCAAGGGAAACTCGTGGGGAGCAACAAGTGATTGTGGCCTGTGGCGTGGGTGTTGTCCTTGGCCACCTGGTGACAAGATATGGTCCTCTGTCCATTGTTCTTGCATAGGAACAGCATTTATTGAAAACAAGCTCCAAATGGGTCTTTGCACAACATTTTAGTCAGACCAATCTATAACCAATTATATTTACTACGACAAATCCCCCTCTTCACGTCTTCTAGACGTGATCCATTAATTATGTTGGCATTAAGCATAGTTGAATCAGTCTTAAAAGAAAAACAATAATGCAGGAAAGAAAACATGATAACGCATAATGCAATTGTAAAAAATTTCAACCATCCCCCTCTAGCATACTAATTATATGGCCAGTTAATTAAACAATGTTAGTCCCCCTCTAGTGAGTGAATACAACAATCAGAGTTGGTCTTTGAAATCGCTAACCTCCAATTGTCGCTGTTCAGGTTTGTAATCATGACAGGCCCATCCACCCCCAGGGACAACACCATACAGACATTCAGGATTCCCAAAAGGACAATCAAGAGGTCCACCTTTAATATTACATAAGGGAGGATAGTCACTTTCAAAATCGTCCAGTTCCAAATCATTAGTTCCCAAAAGCGGATACATCTGGGCTTGGTCATTGTGAATTGTTTCAATAGCAGTGGTTATTATACGGTTAATCAGAGTGCGGGCACAGGGAATACAACAACATCCACACAATGTAAGAATTGATACAAAAACAGCAATAGAAATCAATACAGATGAAATAAGGGTTTTATATTTACCAAAAACATCCATCCAGGAATCCCACATAGAGGTATCAACCCCAGAATGATCTTTCATTTTACCAATAAGAGTCCTCAAACCTTCTAGAGCAATTGTCAAACTTCCATCTGCAGCAGTATTGTTAGGAATAAAAGTACAACATTGTTCCCCGAACATAGCACACACACCCCCTCTTTCAGCAAGTAACATATCAACAGCAATTCTATTCTGAAAAGCCATTAATGAAGTTGCAGCTAGTTGTCCATGAACAGCCTCAAAACCTTGTTGAGTCCAGTTTTCTAATTTCTGGACATTAATGTATGTAGTTAATTCTATCGACGTTTTTATTAATGGTACAACAGTCAGCACCCAAAAGACACCATTCCACTGTACTCCATGTACCCATGTTCAAGGACAGTTTCACAGACAACAAAGAGAGAGTATTCTTATCAGCCTGTTATGTGAAACAATCCATATCAGTACAGTGCTCCTCATTAATGCATTCCTTCCAAGCTATTCATCACATACAGATCCAATTAAAAATAAAACCCAACAATTTTATGGTGTCACTCTAAACAGAGTATAATCACCCTTAAGAATAACAGGATATGGAAATTAAATCACAACATTTAATGTTAATAAAAAATAAAAATAATAATTTTAACCCTCTATTCCTCCCCTACACCTAACATGTACTGAGTTGGCTACCAGCCACCCAGGAATCCTTTACCTTCACATCAGGAAGAATAAACAATCACAGTGGTTAGTAAAAACATAAGGTAATAAATGAGCAAGAACTGAAAATAAATGCGTGTATGTATTTTACTAGGCAAAACATGGATCATCCAGCTTGGTCTCAGAGTCAGTAGCAGAGTCACCTGCATCATCCTGGGCCGGTAACAACAGCATCATACCTGACGCCTGCACCACTCCTACCACTGACCTCCTGAGACAGGGGACGATGCAAGCAGCACAACACATTAACAGCAAAAACACAATTACTAGGGTCAGAAATCAAGTAACCACCATAGAAGAGTACTCACCAAACCAGTCTCTCAGCCAGGAAATAAGGCAACATCCACAAAGAACAAGTATACCCATAGAAGCTATAACTTCACCCAGAATAGTCACAACAATAGTTTTCCATTTACCAAATATGTTATCAAACCAACCGTTTATGGAGCTATCAATACCAGAGTTCTTAACCAGTTCGTTCGCCAGCGTGGTGATGGTCACTCAAGCGCTTTGGTCACGGGCCCGTCCGGTGCTATATTGTTGGAGATGAAAGTACAGCACATATATCCAAACAGAACACAAACCCCGTCCCGCTCAGCCAAAAGCATATCTAAAGCTATTCTATTCTGCCATGTCATTAAGCTAGTTGCCACTGTCTGCTCAGCTAATCCCTTTATTGCATCACGAGTGTGGTTTATAGATATTTTGCTGGTTATATTAAATATAATTTATCCAATCTACATTTTTATTAATTGTTGACCACCAGAAAATACTTGATTCAAACCCAGCTGCGATCTGATTGTGGATCCCATCAATATATATCCTTTCATCAAAGGATCCCGGGAGGAGGTCCTACTTTCTATGTGACAACTCACCACTCTCTGACACGTTTGATTGTTTGCGTATGTAGGTGAGTTCACAATCAGTTATCACCACACATCCATCAGATGTCAGCACGGGTCTGGTTTTTGGCTCCTAAAATCCTCTGGCTGCAACAAAGAGGAGAGATTAGTCATGGTCTCTTTAGGTGTGACATTCTCTGTGTGGGAGCAGGAGCTAAAAGGCCCTACCCTGTATCCTGTCTTACTAGTCCTAGAAAAACAATTAGAATCCCCTGTGACTTCAAACTGAGGCAACCCAGGTCGGGATGACTTTGTTATCGGGGGAAACAGATAGTGCAAGTTACCATAAGACTCTTTCACCACATTCCCAGGTGGCTTGCATGGAGGATAAACCTGACAGAGAGTCAAAGCCTGTCAAGGGGAACGGAGTAGTTGTTAACCTTGGTTTGGCTGTCCTACAGGCATAACAGTCCTCTTTAGACCGTATACTGAATCCATTCCAACCACAGGTTAAAATCTATTTACTCCATCTCCATCTGTACTACTTCCTTCAGGTCTATAGTTTGCACTGTCTCACTACCTCCCTCAGAGAGGTTTACTCTATAGGGTGCCCCAGTTGAAGAAGATATCTCACTTGTCAGGTCTGTAATCTGTTTTAGCATAATTCAGACTTTCAGACAGTACCTACCCTCATATGGGTCGCACTGCCATTTTCTGATAATTCCCTACTTTCACAACCCTAAACTGTGTATGGAGATTGGTGATGTCCTTCCCTAAAGTCCCTAGTATTTCCCCTTTCCCTACGTCTAGCTGTCTCCTATGCCTTTTCAACTTGTGTTAGGTTAACTACTACTTCTGGCTGAAACAGGAGGGTCCGTGTGTGTTAGGAATATGGCCCCCCCACAATCAGACAGCTACCTACCGTCGGGAGACCTGTGAATCCCCACCCTCGCCCTGAGAACATGTCAGATGCCAGAGGCCAACCCATTGCTTTACCTTCTATCGAACTCACACAGGGATGATCAGACAGGGTAAGGGAATCTTCGTTAAGGAGCCAACCCCCGAGCCCTAGTGGTGATCGGATCTTTCTCCTAACTCTGTGTTTGTTCGTCAGGTGTAGCTGGTTTTGCCTTTTTACAGTGTGTGACATGCACCCAGATGGATCTCTCAGCTATTCTGCTGGCAAAGGCAGTACTTGGTAGGGCCCTTCCCGCCAGGCCTGCTTCAGTCTCCTGGTTAGATAGAGTGGGTCACCTTCTCCTTTAATTCACCTGTGGGGGCACAAAACCTCTGACATACAGGTGTGGTTAATAAACGACCTTCTCACGTGTTCTGCTAGGGTGCTCTCTAGTTCTATGTCTGCCTGTCTGGTCCTGCCAACTGTGGCATTCTGTAAGGTCTTCCAAACACTCTCTCAAAGGGGGATAACCCATCTTTATCTGGGGTTACTCTAAATTTCTTCCCTTCACTCCGTGATGACTCTATAAAATCCATTTCCAATTGCTGGAAAGGGTACTTAGCCGGAGGATACTCACCCTGAGGTGCCCTTTGTCTGCCCTGGTGATTATTTTGAGCACAGAAACACATCTTTTTTTTTATTTTTTATAATTAGTAATCCCATGTGCAACAAAGTGTTGTCTAATCTGTTCTACCATCCATCCCTCCTTTTGACACATGTCACTGCCCATGTGTCAATATTATCACCTACCTAACAATCACTTAGGTAATATTGGTAATTTATCATCCAATTGCCATCCCTTATTTTTATTTATTGGTAAAATAAACTATCTTAAAGTCCTCCTCTCATGCTTTTAGAATTTACCAGTGTGGATGATTAATTAACATCAGAAAGTTCAAACAGAGTTCAGAGGCAATTGAAATTCCATCCCATAGTATACCAAACATTACCATTATTCTAAATATTTAATACATGTTACTTATCCCAAGTGTTCATTAATCCTCATGACATTCATTCTCATAAGAAATCATAAGAAATCATATATACCCCAAAACCTAAAAAACTCCATAAAATTCACTGTGTGCTCCTCTAAGACCTATCACCCTTGACCTGCTGAAAACCCTCCAAAATTGAAACAACAAGGCTTTATAAACATCATACTAGGTGTGTTGTTTTCTATTTGAAAAACCCAATTATAAAACAACAACCAAACAGCCAGGTCATGAGGACTCCTGATTTCTCTCTTCCCCTTCTGCCTACAGTTTCTTAACTGGTGCCCTTTCCTTGCACAGTAACTACACGGTTCCTCACATTCTCTAGCAAAATGTCCCGTTTTGTCACAATTGTAACACTTCCACTCACTCCTGTCTGACTTTCTCTCATGATGGATTGCATGTCTCTCTGAGGCTATTACACAATTCAGTTATTTTCCCAACATACTCTCCGTAATCGGCCCATGGCAAAAGTGTCCTCTGGGCATCCCCTGAAACCCACTGCCCTCTAACGGCAGCCCAAACCTTACTATTCCTGTTCTGGGGTGGGTCATTCTTTCTACCGCTCTGGCCACGTCCTCTGTGTTCATGGCCTGTCTGCTAAATGGCATATTATTATTATTACTGTATACATCTAAGGTTGCTGGGGCCCCTTTCATTCCCCGCCAATAGATTAGGTAAGGCTATCAGTGGGTACTGGCCCCCTCCTACTCTCTCTCACTGCTTATTTCTCCTTTACACACCTTATGTATCTGTTTTAAGCATGGATTCGAGTTTATCTGCGTCCAGACGTCCCTCAAAACCATACCTCTCCCTCCACCTGATTATATAATGGAGATTTCTTCTATCCCTGGATTCCATTTTAATTACATCAAGCATTTCTCGTCCCCAGTAAATTCTGGGACCTCTTGTGAGGATTTGCCCCTCCCATGGTTGGTACTGTTAAAAATCCCTTAGCCACCTCTTCTATATTACAAGTCAATTTAACAAGTAATTCAAAATAGCTTCACACAACAACACCTCATAAGGAATGCCCAGCAGGAGTCCAATTCCTATCAGAAAACATACATACAAACATTCAGACACTCCCAATCTCTCCCAGGGGGAAAAAGTTCTCCTTCTCCCTGAGTGAGATTGTTGTTCCCATAAGGGTTTCTTCATTGTGTTGTCAAGATTGGTTCTCGCTGCTCAAATCAGCTCTTACTTCAGACAATGGTCTGGAAGGAGTGGGGGCTGGAGTGCAATGTGTTAGATGGTGCCAGGGTGCTCCTGATTTACCTCTGACCTGGACTGAGTGTGAAGTAACCTCCTTCACTTCGTACGGTCCAGTCCACCTGGGTTCCAGCCACTTTCTTTTGTGGACTTTCACCCTCACCCAGTCTCCCACTTTTACCTTCAGTGGTGGCGTGTTTCCCGACAGCTCCCCCTCTTGGGCCTTCCGCACCTGAGAAGAGAGCGCTGCAGAAAATTCCGTCAATTTCTTCACATAATCAGTCATTTCTATCTGTTGTACATCAAGGGCGGGCATATGACCTCCCTCCCTTGGTGTACCTGGCATTACTCTCCCTGTCATTCGTTGTTCTAAGTATTCATTGAATTTGGGTTTGGTTGGGTTTGGCCCTGCCATCTTGCTTTCTCTATCTTTATACACTTATCCCGTCCCTGGTGTTTTATTTCCAAGGATGTATTATCGGTATCAATACAGACTTATCTCATGTATGACACCCTCGTACATAAAGGGTTAATTTATATAATTTGTAATGCAATCATTATCATAAAAATCAGAATTCCAGTCACATATACCAATGCAGTAATTCCTCCACAGCACACAACACGCTTCAATTGTCTCAGTTCATGTTCAAGAATATGCACAGATCCAATATCAGTCTCCCCAATCCCTGGTTCCTGAAAGCCTAAGTCAAATTCACTCAATTCCACAGATTAGTATTCAGTTTCATAAGTCTCACTATAACTTCCCATCATCCATTACACGTTATAATACATCAAAACACACAGCCAAAAGCCAATTGGAATTACAATGCTTAATAAATTCAGGTTCTCAGAGCGTCCTAAAACATATTCTCAGTTCGACTGCCACCCTTCACACGACCTTATTCAGGACCGATTTTATGTGTGAAGTCACAGAAGCAACTGGATCCCTTAGAGACTTTTGTCTCAGGTTAACTGCACCTTTCACACAACCATTTAATAGGAACGTTTTAAATGTGAAATTACAGAGATAGCTGGCATCTCCGGGAATTTAGTACCTCTGGTCAATTTCGGTGATTCTCCCCCACCTAATGATGGGTCAAATCTCATCCACTCATACGTCAAAACATTCTCCCCCACACAACCTATCTAAAAATAGGACCTTTTAAATGTGAAAACTTAATACGTGTGACTACACACTTCCACACAACCTATCCAAAAAATAGGACCTTTTAAATTGTGAAAACTTATACATGTGACTACACACTTCCACACAACCTATCCAAAAAAATAGGACCTTTTAAATTGTGAAAACTTATACATGTGACTACACACTTCCACACAACCTATCCAAAAAATAGGACCTTTTAAATTGTGAAAACTTATACATGTGACTACACACTTCCACACAACCTATCCAAAAAATAGGACCTTTTAAATTGTGAAAACTTATACATGTGACTACACACTTCCACACAACCTATCCAAAAAATAGGACCTTTTAAATTGTGAAAACTTATACATGTGACTACACACTTCCACACAACCTATCCAAAAAATAGGACCTTTTAAATTGTGAAAACTTATACATGTGACTACACACTTCCACACAACCTATCCAAAAAATAGGACCTTTTAAATTGTGAAAACTTATACGTAAATCACAGTACCAGATATCTCACTTATGCCTTGAATCATTTAGGATGGAAATTATTTAACAAGTATTCATACTCACGCTCAGTACTTCTGATCAAAATTTGGTATTGGTCTATATTACAATATGCAAGATTTCGTTTTAACAGGCTCTGCATACCTTTTTAGAAGAGCGCGCTCTGATCAGGTTCCTGAGGCAAGACGAATAGTTGATGTCTCCTGGATTTCAGGTCACTCTTCCGTCTGTTTTTAGATCGATGATTTGCCTTTTCCTCTCGCACCAACTCTTTAGATCGAATTAGAAACCATCCTCTGCTACCAATTTGTTGGTGAAACCATAATTGGAGAGGAAGTACAAAACCAACGACGCTAGACAGAGAGGAATTTGCTTAAGCAAAAGGCAGTTTATTAAAACAGAGATAGCTGGTACTGCTTCAAGCTACATGCATGGTCCCAACCAATTGCCTCTTAAGGAGACAGTTGAGAAGGGCCATTAAAAAGAGCTTACAGCATTACTTTATAGAATGTAACATAAAGGAAGGGGTCCTTCTTCTAGTCCCTTGATTGGTTCCCGAGGCGTAGGAGGCGGGTCTGCTCTGTCCAGAGCAGATGCCCCAATGCAGAGTCCTCTGCCCTTGGCACCCGACCAGTAGAAGGGGAGTTGAGAATGAGTGTGCGTCCACAGTGAGATGTGTGTGTGTGTGTGTGTCTCAAGGGAAACTCGTGGGGAGCAACAAGTGATTGTGGCCTGTGGCGTGGGTGTTGTCCTTGGCCACCTGGTGACAAGATATGGTCCTCTGTCCATTGTTCTTGCATAGGAACAGCATTTATTGAAAACAAGCTCCAAATGGGTCTTTGCACAACATTTTAGTCAGACCAATCTATAACCAATTATATTTACTACGACACTGTGAACCTGAATGGTATGAAAACGAGATGGGTCATTACACCAGTCACTACACTGATCTAGGGTCTGTTTTGTTATGGTGACCTAATAGGCTAGGCGATGATACAGGGGTGGGAAAGACTGGTTATAGATAAAAAAAATGTAGGATCAGCTCAGTGACTTTCAACGTGGCACCATCATAGGATGCCACCTTTCCAACAAGTCAGTTTGTCAAATTTCTGCCCTGCTAGAGCTGACGAAGCATGTAGCCCGTAAAAATCGTCTATCCTCGGTTGCAACACTCACTACCGAGTTCCAAACTGCCTCTGGAAGCAATGCCAGCACAAGAACTGTTCGTCGGCAGCTTCATGAAATGGGTTTCCATGGCCGAGCAGCCGCACACATGCCTAAGATCACAATGCGCAATGCCAAGCGCCGCCATTGGACTCTGGAGCAGTGGGAACGTGTTCTCTGGAGTGATGAATCACACTTCACCATCTGGCAGTCCAATGGACGAATCTTGGTTTGGCGGATGCCAGGAGAACGCTACCTGCCCAAATGCATAGTGCCAACTGTAAAGTTTGTTGGAGGAGGAATAATGGTCAGGGGCTGTTTTTCAAGGTTCGGGCTAGGCCCCTTAGATCCAGTGAAGGGAAATCTTAATGCTACAGCATACAATGACATTATAGACGATTATGTGCTTCCAACTTTGTGGCAACAGTTTCGGGAAGGACTTTTCCTGTTTCTGCATGACAATGCACAAAGCAAGGTTCATACAGAAATGGTTTGTCGAGATCGGTGTGGAAGAACTTGACTGGCCTGCACAGAGCCCCGACCTCAACCCCATCAAACACCTTTGGGATGAATTGGAACGCCGACTGCGTGCCAGGCCTAATCGCCCAACATCAGTGCCCGACCTCACTAATGCTGTTGTGGCTGAATGGAAGCAAGTCCCTGCAGCAATGTTCCAACATCTAGTGGAAAGTATGAGTCATAATACCCATAAAACCTAGAGGTCAAACAAGGAAATGGTTCCAAACATTTTTCCGCCATTCATTTTCCCCATAGGGGATTTTAGAAACACTTCAAATAAGGGCTGTCTTTTGTGGAGGCTTACCCTGGCGTGACATTTTGATAACCATGTATATCTCTCAAGGACAAGGTGACTTGTCGAGTTGCCAAACGTCAGCCTCGAAACCTTAATGACTTGGAGAAGATCTGCAAAGAGGAGTGGTACAAAATCCCTCCTGAGATGTGTGCAAACCTGGTGGCCAACTACAAGAAACGTCTGACCTCTGTGATTGCCAACAAGGGTTTTGCCACCAAGTTCTAAGTCATGTTTTGCAGAGGGGTCAAATACTTATCTGGATTTTTTTGTTGTTATTCTGTCTCTCACTGTTCAAATACACCTACCATTAAAATTATAGACTGATCATTTCTTTGTCAGTGGGCAAATGTACAAAATCAGCAGGGGATCAAATACTTTTTTCCCTCACTGTAGCTATATAGGAAAAAGCCCTGGATGATGAAAAATGAAGAACTGTCTGCATACATACCTGACAAGCAACATCACTCACACTAGAGCAGAAAACACATTTACTTATAAATATTGTCCAAACATTCAGGGTCTGACAGGGGTGCATGAAATCAAACTATTTGATATAATGCTCTCTGAGTTTAAGCTCCAACATGGAAATTATTGCACATTTTATCTCATGATTTAAAGGGATATCAAAAATACAAGTCAAATCAAAGTGTTGATTTCCATGACACCTATTAGGCACACACAACCAAAACAGTGTCCAATTGTTGACTCGCATTGCAATTTGATCATACAAAGCTATTGTTCAAAGCCAATAAAAAAATGTTGAAGTGCCACCTTCACCAAAGCAGTCACTTTTAAAGCCAGTGATATACATTGCCCTGTTTTCAACACAAAGAACCCACAGTGGACTGCTTGAAGGACACCAAATTAAGTAGCCTTGAGCTTGCTAACAGAAAAAGGACAAGAAAATAACAAAACAGGTAGAATATTAGCTACAGATTGTAAGCCAGATAATGTGATATAACCAAAGATGTTTGGTGTCCTGTAATGGTACTGGACACCAAAAATCTTTGGTTATATCACATTATCTGGCATATAATCTGTAGCTAGGAGAATATATCCAATGACATACAGTGTACTGTAAGTAAGGTGTGATAAGAAAAAGGCAAGCTTGAACTCAAGGCAAATGTGTCAGGTTTAGGAAGGAGGTGATATATATTTTAAGTAGCAAAGAAGATGTAATGATAAAGATATCTCACCGACCCAACTAGGCTTCAGACAGGAGAGCTACTCCCTGTGTGGATTCTAATTTATATCCACCCAGAGAACTGGCAAAACAAAGTATATTTTTAAGGAGAATTTTGCTTTTCTTAAAACCAAATATCTATTTTTGATGTAAATGGCATGTTATGGAAGGGTCCAGACACTTTTTTTTGCAATTTCACTCGTTTTTGAGAAACTTACCCCAACCAGATTCACTTCCTCATCCTCGTTGTGCAGTATGGGGGTGCTGAAAAAACATGAACAAATGCTCCAAAAACACCCAAATAGGTCCTTTTAGAAACTGAAAAGCTCTCAGTATAGTGATGCAGTTCTTTAGATGTTGTACACATGAAATTGTGTCAGCAACGTTATATTCCCTTTTGTCGCTAGTTGGGATACATTTCTCAAAAACAAGTGAAATCGCAAAAATATGTCTGGACCCTTCTATAACATGCCATTTGCATTTTTAAAAAATAGAGATTTGGTTGTAAAAAAATAGAACTTCTCCTTCAAACCTATTTTTGCCACTATCCTCCAGGTTCATACAGAGGGAATTGGATATGTGTACTACCAAAGAACAGTTGCATTCATAGTATGTATTATGCAATATGGCAGTAGTATATGCCAATACATCCCCAGTCATGAAGAGATGAACAGTGATAACCACTTACCAGCTTAGGTTCCAGTACATGGACATTGTTTGAACTTGAAACAGATAATGATAAAAGAAGGCAGCTCCAATGGGGAATTTGAAAAAGAGATTAATTTAAAATGTTAAAAAATATAGCTTAACAATAAGGCCATAACCTGACGATGGTGAATTCTGAGAGATTAAAACTATAAATATTATGTTGTCAATGTCGATATTCACATAATAATAAGGAATTCCCCTCAACCACGCCCATAAATTGGGGAAAACAAACATTCTTTCCCATTGACCTCCAGTGTAAAAGAGCCAACTTTGTCGTCAATTTTTTGTTATACAGAATTAAGAAAACATGCCAAAAAGCTGCTGTGTTGTTCAATGTTCGCAATGCTCCCACGTAGTGAAATACAGCCTGCGAGAAAAGCCCTGTGGCTTCAGGCTATTCAGCGTGGGAGATGTGGGGACCCTGTGTCCAAGTAGGCTACACGTAGCTATGTGTGTGGAAAACATTTAATCACAGGTAAGACATTTAACTTGTTTAGTATAGTCAGTTTGTAACGCCACTCACTACTTGTTTGTTTTTTGTGTTGTTGGTCAAGGCTAGCTTAATGTTCCGGTCGGTAGCCAGTAGCACTCACTCACTCACTCACTCACTCACTCACTCACTCACTCACTCACTCACTCACTCACTCACTCACTCACTCACTCACTCACTCACTCACTCACTCACTCACTCACTCACTCACTCACTCACTCACTCACTCACTCACTCACTCAATCACTCGGCTGCTAGCACCATCATCAAAAGGGGCATGAGGGAAGCCCTACAATATTAGGTTTTTCTAAGTAGTGAGAACGCAAGCAATGCTGAAACAACAAGAAAATTGTGTTTGAAAAATATCATGTTTTTGCTGTGAGCCAATGGAGTAACCACAGGTTGTTTTCCCAAAAGGAGGCAGGGCCGCGACCTTCTATCTAATACCAACTGGGACTATAGTGACAAAACATCAAACACTGTGACATCATCAACAAGTTCTGGCTAGTTAGTGCTTACACGGGTGACTGGATGACAGGGGAAAAAGCAGTGACAAGACAAAAACAGTTAGTGAAAAGAGCATTAAGAAATATCATTTCTGTCTTGCTGAAATTATGGCACAAGCACCTATCGTCAACTATATATTAAATACAAAAACTGCACTTTCAGTAATCAAATGCAATTCACCAAATTGACAAATCTATTTCATACATCCTCCTAACCAACTGTCATTGTTACACTAGCAACGACGTTGAAGTTAGGTGATGAATACGGTCCGGTATAAGAGTGAGTAGATGAGGGAGGGCAGCGTCACAAAACTGTCCCATTGTTCCTGTTGTGGCTGTGTGATTTGATCACAACTAAAAAGCATAACCGAAACAATCATGAACATTCCAACTGAACACAAGAGGCGAGACCTTCTGCTGTTAAAAAAAATAGATCAGTCACTGTCCATTTTTCCTCTTTGGGCTTAATACACACCTGTTGATCTGAGGCAAACAGTCAGAGTGGGAGAACATTCCAGCCTCTTCCTCACTGAGAGACACACCCCCAAGCCTGAGAGAATGGTCTCTCCCTGCTTACAACCATCCAGTTGTCTTAGATCTGTGAAGGGATATCAACAAAGAGGCACAAGTAGGGGCTAGAGAGGAGTTTGGTATTAGGCCAGAAAGGGGTAAAGGTTAGAGAGGAGTTTGGTTTTAGGCCATAGAAGGGTAGGGGAGATGAGAGGTGTTCAGATTTCTTCAGTCTATCTTGTGCCTGTGGAGTGTGCTTTTCCATACCTAGAGGAGGGCAGGACTAGCCTGCAAGGGACAGTTAAAAGGTCCAATCACACACTGACTCTACAGGAAGTGATATATTCTCAGCCAGTAGGCAGATGTCTGGACCGGAGTGGAGTTTTAAGAGTTCTGTATGGCAGAACCCTTCACTCTCTCCCTCCGTCTTCCTCGCATTCTTGTCTCGTTCAGTTGTTCCTCTCCTCTCTCAGAAAGTGGAGCCGTCACAAACTATGTTCTGGTCTCGGCCGGGGAACAGCTCCATCTGCCAGTAAAGCGGGTCAGCATACACTGGCAGGGTCAAAGCACAAAGGTCAAAATGAGGTCAAAATAAATGCACATTTGTATAGGTCTAAATCAGGCTTTGGTTACAGCCTAGCACAAACACACGATTCAAATAATTAACTACTAATGGTCACAGTATACACAATATTACACAGTAATTACACAGTATACTTGCAGTGTGTGTTCTTCTCACCCATATCTCCAGGTCCCAGCCAGAGGTTGAATGAGCTGCAGTGTTTCTGACAGTGGTGGACAGGGAGCACTCGAACCGTGGGCAGGCCCTCTCCTACCACCAGCCAGCCCAGCACTCGCACACCCTGAAACATACACGCACAATACCACTGTGACAGCACACTGCTGAATCCCGACAAACACCATAACAACAAACATCCTTGTCTATTTGGACTTTGTTAGAGGCCAGACTCACTCTGCTCTGAGAGTTGGCACTATGCGTGACCAGGCAACGCTGCAGTGTTGTTCCGGCGCTGTCCAATAGGGGGCATAGCTCAGCCTTGGGGAACAGCCACCTCAACACCTTCTCTCTGGCCCCAGATGTAAACCTCCTAGAGAAAGAAGGGGAAGACACTGAGTCCGATGAGAAAAACGGACAAATGCATCCTTGTTTTCTTCCTTCCTTGACACCCGTTTTCTAAATTACCAATTCATGCTCATTCATATGTATGTGTGTGTGTGGTTGGGTTTCTCTGTGCGTGCAGTGCATATCTGCACGCAAGTGTGTGTGTGTGTGTGTGTATCTACAGTACCAGTCAAAAGTTTGGACACACCTACTCATTCAAGGGTTTTTCTTTATTTTTTACAATTTTCTACATTGTAGAATAATAGTGAAGACATCAAAACTATGAGATAACACATATGGAATCATGTAGTAACCAAAAAAGTGTTAAACAAATCAAAATATATTTTATATTTGAGATTCTTCAAAGTAGCCACACTTTGCCTTGATGACAGCTTTGCACACTCTTGGCAGTCTATCAACCAGCTTCATGAGGAATGCTTTTCCAACAGTCTTGAAGAAGTTCCCACATATGCTGAGCACTTGTTGACTGCTTTTCCTTCACTCTGCGGTCCAACTCATCCCAAACCATCTCAATTGGGTTGAGGTCAGGTGATTGTGGAGGCCAGGTCATCTGATGCAGCGCTCCATCACTCTCCTTCTTGGTCAAATAGCCACCCTCTGCCTTGATGACCGCTTTGCACACTCTTGGCATTCTTTCAACCAGCTTCATGAGGTAGTCACCTAGGATGCATTTCAATTAACAGGTGTGTCTTGTTAAAAGTTAATTTGTGGAATTTCTTTCCTTAATGCGTTTGAGCCAATCCGTTGTGTTGTGACAAGGTAGGTATACAGAAGATAGCCCTATTTGGTAAAAGACCAAGTCCCTATTATGGCAAGAACAGCTCAAATTAGCAAAGAGAAACGACAGTCCATCATTACTTTAAGACATGAAGGTCAGTCAATCCAGAAAATGTCAAGAACTTTTAAAGTTTCTTCAAGTGCAGTCGCAAAAACCATCAAGCGCTATGATGAAACTGGCTCTCATGAGGACCGCCACAGGAATGGAAGACCCAGAGATACCTCTGCTGCAGAGGATAAGTTCATTCGAGTTACCAGCCTCAGATATCGGCAATGAACTGCACCTCAGATTGCAGCCCAAATAAATGCTTCAAGTAACAGACACATATCAACATCAACTGTTCAGAGGAGACTGTGTGAATCAGGCCTTCATGGTTGAATTGCTGAAAAGAAACCACTACTAAAGGACACCAATAAGACTAACAGACTTTCTTGGGCGAAGAAACACGAGCAATGGACATTAGACTGGTGGAAATCTGTCCTTTGGTCTGATGAGTCCAAATTTGAGATTTTTGGTTCCAACCACCGTGTCTTTGTGAGACACAGAGTAGGTGAACAGATGATCTCCACATGTGTGGTTCCCACCGTGAAGCATGGAGGAGGTGTGATGGTGTGGGGGTGCTTTGCTGGTGACACTGTCAGTGATTTATTTAGAATTCAAGGCACACTTAACCAGCATGGCTACCACAGCATTCTGCAGCGATACGCCATCCCATCTGGTTTGCAACTTAGTTGCACTGTCATTTGGTTTTTCAACAGGACAATGGCCCAGAACACACCTCCAGTCTGTGTAAGGACTATTTGACCAAGAAGGAGAGTGATTGAGCGCTGCATCAGATGACCTGGTCTCCACAATCACCCGACCTCAACCCAATTGAGATGGTTTGGGATGAGTTTGGGATGAGTCCCCTGTAGCTCAGTTGGTAGAGCATGGCGCTTGCAACGCCAGGGTTGTGGGTTCGTTTCCCACGGGGGGCCAGTATGAAAATGTATGCACTCACTAACTGTAAGTCGCTCCGGATAAGATCGTCTGCTAAATGACTAAAATGTAAAAATGTAAATGAGTTGGACCACAGAGTGAAGGAAAAGCAGCCAACAAGTGCTCAGCATATGTGGGAACTCCTTCAAGACTGTTGGAAAAGCATTCCAGATGACTACCTCATGAAGCTGGTTGAGAGAATGACAAGCTGTCATCAAGGCAAAGGGTGGCTACTTTGAAGAATCTACACTTTTGATTTGTTTAACACTTTTTTGGTTACTACATGATTCCATATGTGTTATTTCATAGTTTTGATGTGATGTCTTCACTATTATTCTACAACGTAGAAAATTGTAAAAATAAAGAAAATAAATGAGTAGGTGTGTCCAAACCTTTGACTGGTACTGTATATGCGTTAGTGTGTGTACCAGAGCAGGGTGAAGTTTGCAGGGCCATGTGGAAAACCCTCGTCATGTGACAGTAGGTTGTCTTCCTCCACTAGTATACTCATGGAGCCGGAGTGCACTGAGTAGAGCTCCTCTAGCTGCTGCCTCTGCAGACACAGAGACTCCCCACCCTACATAGAGACAGAGGACATACGTCAGGCACAGGGCAGAAAAGACTAACTGCTGATGTTAGCTAAATGAACTAGCACAATATTTATATAAAGATCATGCTGCGGTGGATCCGTAAACAATATGCAGACTGGACACTCACTTTAAGGGACATTGTTGTTTTTCCAGTCTAACTAAGATTTTCAGTCTAACAAAAACACTTCCTTTCAGTGACATTGTTATTTTTCTGTTGAACTAAAATGTATATTTGAGTAAATTTGTCAATTTCCCTGGTGTTAGTGTTTCAAGTTTTATTAGCCATACAGTATATACAGGATATGCATGGTATACATCGTCCAACGAAATGCTTACTTGAAATGCTTACTTGCAGTGGTGGTCGTACCTTAAGCAGCACAGGCTGTGGCCCCCTGCGTATGGCTGCAGACTCTCTGAGGGTCTCAGGGACCTCCAGCACAGAGGAGACCTCTGCACAGCCAGAACAGTTGACCAGGCCCTGCCGCAGAGCCCCCACACTCCACCACTCATGGAAACCTACAGGAGAGAGACAGTAGGGAAGCTGTTATTACACACACTGGCTAGGAACAAAGACCCAAAGTCTATAGTGAACAACTAAGGATGTTGTCTAACATTGTTCTTTCCCCTCTGTAACTGTACCTTGCAGGTTGTACTTCTTGGCGATGGGCAGAGCTAGCAGTCTGATGTGGCTGAGGGGGGAGGACCAGTTGTGTCCCCCCGTGTACATCACGCCTAGCTGGGGCCGAGTCTGGGGGTTGGTGAAGGCCAGCACAACCACCAACAGAAAGCCTACCGCTACCACAAACTACAGTAAGGAGATATGAGGATGAGTGAGAGGATGGTTGATCAATGCAGAGATTGACATTAAGGGTTGCCTTATTGCCAGGGCAAGTGAGCTGAGCAGTCTTGCAAGTTGAGCCTGCTCTGAGGTTGCCCCATTGGGCAGGTGATTTTTTCGACTGATAACCAAAATGCAAAGAATTCCTGTAGTCTGGTCTTTCTGGTTCCTCCCATGTGTAGGTGAATAGCTACTTTACATTTTCGGGCAAGTGATCATAATCTTCCAGCAACCAAAAAATACTCCTGACTTGCCCAATGGGCAAGTGCCTTTCAGACCTTAACGTCAATCCCTGCAATGTGCTTTTGATATATTGACTGGCATATGATTAGCTGATGGACATTGAACATCTCATTGCCTTATGTATGATCTGTTGCCACCTTACATGAGTGTGTGTGTGTGTGTGCGCATCTTACCTTGATAGTGGCTCGAAGGATGGGGAATTGTGGCGGGTCTCTTCGAGGCTCGTTGGTCTCCAGGACTTGTTTAATAAACTTCTCAATCTCCCTCTCCGACATGCCATAGCGATACCCCGACTGGCGGAGAATATCGATGCTCGCTGACAGCTTGTCGTAGATGCAAGGCTCACTTAGTGTGGTGCCCATAGCAAATATGTGGTCCAACTGAATCTAGTCAACAGTTCATTTAGGAGGACAGTGCCTCTAGTCTTCGGTTTGTGGCTTTGTCACTCATATTCCCTCTGAGGTTGGAAAAACAGCACTTCCAAAGCTCCAGACAGAAGTTACACAAACAATCCAGATGATATGGCTGAACTTGGCCTTGGACTGTGGTCAACACCTTGTCAATGTCAACACAAGCATTCAGAGGCCCATGTGTACTGTAAGCAATATGTGGTAGTTATTTGCACGTGACAATAATATCAACACACAATTGAGAGGTTGAAAACGTTGAACAGTTAAGCAGGCAGAGAAATATATCCTTAACATCAACTACAATGTACAGAACGCGTCTACCAAGTTCAACTCGATGTCAATCTAACTAGTTTTGTGAATCCAGTTATTATCATTTTACCTTTATCATACAATGAGTATGTCAGTGGCAGCAGTGGGGTAAACAAATAAATAAAGCTAGCTAAGTGGCTAGGGTCAGATATATTAGAAAATGAGTAGCTCTGCTAGGGTTACTAGCTTGCTAAGTTAGCTACTAACAGGTGTAGCTATATTTCATAAGATCAAGTAAGCATCATATGTCAAACAGTGATCACGAACTCACCGTAATTAACGGTTAATTTGTAATTACAGATCTACTCTGTCTTGTTCATATTTAGCTTCGTGTCGACCAACCAACCTTTTCTCACTTTGCTTGGTGCTTGAGAATTTGCGATGTCACTTGACTTCCCTATTTTACAGCAGATTCGAGTAGCAAAACTCAAGATTGATGTTTAAATATAATATAATTAGTACAATTGTATTAATTAAAATGAACTTATATTTTTACTTGTTTGTCTTGTATTGGCAGTATTTGTTTTGCATGTATATGAGAAATAAATAGACGAATCTGCCTTGCCACATAATGTTATATTTAGTGTAATATATCGTATCAACCGGCAGAGGGCGCACGTTCCCGAGTGAATCGTTCTTTATACCTCAGTGATCGCCCACTGCAGCTACCCATACTTGCGCCTTTCATCAAAGCACCCCTTTCCGCGCATTGTTTCGCGGATCAGCTGTGCATGGATCTAAAACCCCACCCGATTAGGAAGGGAAAGACGTGAAGCGAAGCAATAGGGACCGCAAGAAAATAAGAGGCTTTAAAAACAATTAACATTCTGTAAGGCGTAAAATCAAAACACCGCCCTTTATATTGCGATTCCTGAGGACTGAAACGGGCTACATCTTCGCATTCCTCTATCCGTCTATTGGATCGCTGCCGCGGTGAAGACGTCCAGTCAGCTGATATTTTGCTACCCTAGCTCCTCTCTCAAGATGATAGCCCTTTTTAACAAGCTGTTGGACTGGTTTAAACAGTTATTTTGGAAGGAGGAGATGGAGTTGACACTGGTCGGTCTGCAGTATTCGGGGAAGACAACCTTCGTGAACGTAATAGCGGTAATTTCTCCGTTTACTCGCTCTGTCTGTGTCTGCACCGATTACGATGGGAATAGACCGTGGCACAAAGTAGCGGGTCCCGTGATTGAAACACCGCTCCTCCTGTTAGTTGTTACAGTGTCGCAGCATTATTCGTAATCATGACCTTTTCGTCCTGGCTAGAAACAAATAGGCTATATGTGTGTGAATAATGTCTAGATGTAATTGTGAATAGGACGATATGCTATATTAATTGGCCTATATGATTTATTAAGACTGCATTACAACCTACGAGCATTACAACCTTGAAATGGTGCACTGTTATTTCATTGTACACCATATGTTACACATAACCTAGATAATTATGTGCAGTGTAAGATATTTTGGCTCTAAATCCGCCCAGGAATGTCCGAGCCAAGGTATTGGATTAGGATGCTGAGACTGCTTACATGTATGACAAGGAACTAGAAAAGGCCAAGACTAGGACCAGATATGACCAAGGCATAGGCCTACATTGGTTGTAGTACTTTTGCACACTGCAGGCTACACTAGGCCCTACAATATTGTATCTCTCTGACATACAAGCAGTAGGTCACAGTTGGGCTGTACATTCAATATTGGCCACTACTCTGACTGTATTCATTGTTTTGCCCATTCCTCATTTGCTACTACTTTGGCAACAACAACAGCCCTTCCACTTGCTCCATTGCAAAACTGTGTCAATCCTCTCACCAGGCAGTGTGTGATTGTAGTGATATCCTTGCAGTGTGGTATGTTGATGGGTGTATAATGGTTTGTACATTGTACAGGTATTTTTGTATGAACAGGAAATGATTAGCCTATCTTTATTAGAATTTGTGTTAATACTGTAGATGTGTGTGTGTGTTTGTTCACCAGTGCTGATGAGTATTCCCTCTGCGAACACACATAAAACCAGGCTGTGCAGAAGAAGGTAATCTGTGTATAAATTCACCCATTTACAGAGCACATCAATTAAACCTGGACCTCGCTTCCTTGCATCCACCTGCTCCAGCTGAGCCCAATTCCCCAGCCCCATCTTCGTCCCCTAGCCTCGCAAGCCGCCTGATCTCACGAGCTTACATGAATGTTCGCAGCACGGATATGCGGTAATCAGTCTGGTAATTACGAGGCTACCCGTCCCCAGGCCCTGACTCAGACCCTGCCCTTGCTCCCAGCCCAACCCCAGACCCTGCCTTTGCTCCTGCCCAACCTGAGCCCATCCCCAGTCTCAGCCAAACCCAGTCAATTACCCATCCCCAGCCTCAGCCCATTCCCCTGCCCCATTCACAGGTCCAGCCCATCCCCAGCCTCAGCCCATTCCCCAGCCCCATCACCATCCCCATTTTCTGCCCCATCCCCTTCCCCATCCTCAGCCCATTCCCCAGCCCCGTGCCCATCCCCAGGCCCACTTAGTTCAGGGCTCTCAAACTCACTGTCCGGGACCATATCCATCTGGTTTCACAGACAGTCCAATACCCAAGTTCCTGATCCTTATGGTGTATCTGTTGAGCTGCCACAGGTGGCAGTGAGTGGGGTTGTGCTGTCATGTTGGAGGAGTGAGAATCAGAAGGCTGTTGGCTCGGCCCTGGCCCTGGCTCCCCACTGAGTGCTAGACAGGGACTTGGGAAGACTGTGACCTAGTGACTCATCCTTGTTTGTCAGATCCTCCCATCTGGCAGTTTGGTGTCTCTTCCGTCTCATAACAGTCCCAGTGAGCGGCAGTTAAGTGTCCTTTAACTTTTATTATACAACTGAAGGCCCAGAGTCTAACTCAGCCATGCTCTGAGCAGTATGCACAGGTTATGGGTGACTGCAGTATGATCACTTAGTGGGGAAGTGTATTTTTAAAGGTGCAGTTTTCAAACTTTTTGGGATGACACTTTCAGATAGAGATGTAATGTATAGAGCAGAAATGGCGTTCTGTTCCATTTAATGCAGAGGGAATCATATATTCTAGACATTACATTTCTATGTCCAGGTTGTTGTGAAAGCATTGAAGCAAGATCCCACTCATGCTAAGAAATCCAAGTACAGATCTGTAGGCTAGGCTATAGGCTATGTGTGTATGTAACAAGATGGCACCGACAGACATGGTCGCCATGCTCCTAGCCAACTTTGCAGTATTTTTTTTTTTGTTGGTGTTATTTCTTACATTATTTGCGCAGAATCTTCTTGTATTATTACCTACAGCCGAAAATAACTTTTCTATATTAGATCGGTGGTCACTCACCAGCATTTCAACCAGAAATGAGACTTTCCTGAATTGGATCCTTTGTTTGTACCCCTGAAGGAATTCAACTCATCCCAGGGGCTGCTCCAAGATGCCATTGACGGAGAAGAGGAATATGGAGTGGGCTTTTAGTCTGACTCAGGATGCGTACATACCATCCACTGCTTCTGAGTATATTACTCGTTAATGTTCATTCCCTGGAGAATAAAGTAGATGAGCTCAGGGTGAGGATCTCCTTCAGGAGAGACATCAGGGACATACTTTGTAACTTACTTTGTTTCACGGAATCATGGCTCTCTCCGGATATACTGTCCCTGTCCATACAGCCAGCTGGGTTCTCTGTACATCGCGTGGACAGGAAGAAAGAACTCTCTGGGGAAAAAGAAAGGTGGAGGTGTATATTTCATGATTAACTACTCATGGTGTGATTGCGGTAACGTACAGGAACTCAAGTCTATTTCTTCTCCCAATCTGGAATACCTCACCATCAAATGCCGACCGCATTACCTCCAGAGAGAATTCTCTTTGGTCATCGTCACGGCCATGTACAGTGAGGGGAAAAAAGTATTTGATCCCCTGCTGATTTTGTACGTTTGCCCACTGACAAAGAAATGATCAGTCTATAATTTTAATGGTAGGTTTATTTGAACAGTGAGGGACAGAATAACAACAACAAAATCCAGAAAAACGCATGTAAAAAATGTTATAAATTGATTTGCATTTTAATGAGGGAAAAAGTATTTGACCCCCTCTCAATCAGAAATATTTCTGGCTCCCAGGTCTCTTTTATACAGGTAATGAGCTGAGATTAGGAGCACACTCTTAAAGGGAGTGCTCCTAATCTCAGCTTGTTACCTGTATAAAAGACACCTGTCCACAGAAGCAATCAATCAATCAGATTCCAAACTCTCCACCATGGCCAAGACCAAAGAGCTCTCCAAGGATGTCAGTGACAAGATTGTAGACCTACACAAGGCTGGAATGGGCTACAAGACCATCACCATGCAGCTTGGTGAGAAGGTGACAACAGTTGGTGCGATTATTCGCAAATGGAAGAAACACAAAATAACTGTCAATCTCCCTCGGCCTGGGGCTCCATGCAAGATCTCACCTTGTGGAGTTGCAATGATCATGAGAACGGTGAGGAATCAGCCCAGAACTACACAGGATAATCTTGTCAATGATCTCAAGGCAGCTGGGACCATAGTCACCAAGAAAACAATTGGTAACACACTACGCCGTGAAGGACTGAAATCCTGCAGCGCCCGCAAGGTCCCCCTGCTCAAGAAAGCACATATACATGCCCGTCTGAAGTTTGCCAATGAACATCTGAATGATTCAGAGGAGAACTGGGTGAAAGTGTTGTGGTCAGATGAGACCAAAATTGAGCTCTTTAGCATCAAGTCAACTCGCCGTGTTTGGAGGAGGAGGAATGCTGCCTATGACCCCAAGAACACCATCCCCACCGTCAAACATGGAGGTGGAAACATTATGCTTTGGGAGTGTTTTTCTGCGAAGGGGACAGGACAACTTCACCGCATCAAAGGGACGATGGACGGGGCCATGTACTGTCAAATCTTGGGTGAGAACTTCCTTCCCTCAGCCAGGGCATTGAAAATGGGTCGTGGATGGGTATTCCAGCATGACAATGACCCAAAACACACGGCCAAGGCAACAAAGGAGTGGCTCAAGACGAAGCACATTAAGGTCCTGGAGTGGCCTAGCCAGTCTGCAGACCTTAATCCCATATAAAATCTGTGGCGGGAGCTGAAGGTTCGAGTTGCCAAACGTCAGCCTCGAAACCTTAATGACTTGGAGAAGATCTGCAAAGAGGAGTGGGACAAAATCCCTCCTGAGATGTGTGCAAACCTGGTGGCCAACTACAAGAAACGTCTGACCTCTGTGATTGCCAACAAGGGTTTTGCCACCAATTACTAAGTCATGTTTTGCAGAGGGGTCAAATACTTATTTCCCTCATTAAAATGCAAATCAATTCATAACATAACATTTTTGACATGCGTTTTT